AAACATAACATTTGTGTTTTTTTTTATTGCTGAAGAGTGTTGAACTTTCTTCTCCTGCCTCCTATTCTTCATGCAGCCCAGAATGGCTTTGTTTGGTTTCTTTGAGCTGCGTGCGCCCTCTTCTGTACAGACGTGAATTTACATTTCCTTCAGCTCATTTCACTTTTGGTGTAAAGGGGCTTTTACATTTGCCAAAAATATAACTTTTTTCTATTAAAAACAAACAAGTAAGCCCAGTAACTAAGTAACATACTTAATTTTTACTTTTTTTTAGGAGTAACACAATATTGTAATGCATTACTTTTAAAAGTAGCTTTCCCCAACACTGCTCATCAGACTAACAAAATGCCAACTTCTGAGCCATCTAGTGTTAGTTTAGATTAAGGTTGTTAGTGTTAGGTTGCTGCTGTTCAGCTGTTCCATTCCGGTTAAAATGCTGTTTATTTTGCCAGTGTAAAATATAGACAGCTCACTAGGTTTTGGACACCTCATCTCATTAGTGGCTGTTCTAGACAGATTTTTAGGGATCTAGTGTAGACTTGTATGAATAATGAATAGTTAAAAACATTTAATTTATAGTTTCGTCACTGAAATTTCAGACAGTTTGACTTTTTTTTTTGCAGCACATACATCTGCCTATAGGGGCAATTTAGGAAAGATGGTTGTATTTATAGTACATAGAGGGTTATGTTCTAAAGAATGCCATTTCAATTCTACATCCCATTTTTGAGCATGAAGAGTGAGTTAAATATGAGGTTAAACAGACAGAGACTCAAACTTTTGTGTCGTTTACAGATTTCATGCTGCAAAAGTCAGTGTGCACCAACATACTGTACAACTTATATACAGTATAGGGCTACTAAATGGAGCAGTCAGAAATGAATCCGATTGGCTCACTTTTTTTTTTTATAACTTTGCATAAGAAATTGTTTTGGCCATATGTGCTGATGTCAGGGTTCAAATCAGTGTGTGATTTATGTTGGGATTAATTTTTGCTTACATAATCTTTGGTGTATTTTTGAGAGGAGTCGTGAGGAGCTTTGTTAGGAGTGTGCAGAAATTTGTTGTGCCAATTACTCTCTCTTTCTAAGGTTTATTGTCATATGCAGTTAAATATTGTCACCATACCTAGGTTAACAAGTTTTACTTTTGTATATAAAATAATCTTGCAATATCTTGCAAATTGAACTGATACCATAGCATATCGCTGATGCAAGATGCATACTAACCACCAATACCCTTGAATGAATGAGATAGATGAAGCAAGGTTTGACTGTGGCCCAGTTACGGAAATAACAAGGATTTTCTGGGTTGTGCTGGCAGCGGTACAGAACAGACTCCTGTCCTGCTGTCACAGACACGCAGACGCTGCGACCACGACTGTCTGGAACAAATCACTGACCGCACTGACTGATGTCTGCTCTGAGTGCTCTCTTTCTCTCATGCGTTCGTCTTTTCTTTCTGTTTCCTAAACACACATATGTTCACATGAAAGAGGTGAATTTACATTAATGTTTGCACAGTATGGTGTTTAATGTTATCGCAGCTGTTGCTGTTGACACTTGTGCTTTCAGATACTTCCTGTTGTTGTAGCCAATGTAAAACATACAATCTATTCCCAAACAGTTATAGTGATGCTTGCAAGATGCAGGAGAGAGAGTGTTAGTATAAGATTTAGTGTGCAAGAATTTTGTTTTATTTTATCTACTATTTTAATGTTTTCATCGTATTTAATATCATATTTAC